AGGGCAAACGTGGGAGGCGGTCCAGACCAATCTTGGAGGAACCCTTTGCACTTCGAGGGTGCGAAGCAAAGCCTGATGTGACGGACAGCTAGTGCTAATCTGTCCAGTGCCGCTTGGCACGTTTGTGAGCTGTCACAGATCAGCGCAATATCATCAGCATACTCTAAATCAAAAACTCGTTCTCCTGGGAGTAGCTCCACACCTTCTAAGTCGTGTCCTGTGAACGGGATTTCCATGACTTCGTCAACAGCGAAGTTGAAGAGGAAAGGTGACAGCAGGCATCCTTGTCTCACGCCGCTGGAGATATTAAAGGGCGACGACAACTTGCCGTAAGTCCTCACTCTGCCCGAGCTACGCGAATATAATGGTCTCGTAATATTTACACATTTCTCAGGTACACCTTTCCTGAGTAGACAGTCCTAAAGTGCATGTCTATCCACCGAATCGAATGCACCTTTGATATCGAGGAACACGATAACGGTGGGCCACCAATATGTGTGTCGGTACTCCAACAACTGACGCAAGGTGAAGGTGTGGTCGATGCAGCCACGACCCCGACGAAACTCTGCTTGCTCCTCTCGAAACTGGCTCTTACGAGTGCCAGTCAGTCTGTGAAAAATGACAGAGGCAAGCAATTTAGAGGCGATAGAGATCAGACTGATTCCTCTATGGCTGCCGCATTCCGATCGTGAGCCTCCTTTGCTAATTGTGACTATGGCGGAGCGGCTCCAATCGGTTGGGACAGTCTCCTGCTCGCACAGTCTCACTAGTAACTCGTGTAAATCATCCACAAGAGCAGGTCCACAGACTTTGAAAAGGGCTGGAAAAAGGTCATCAGGTCTTGCGGCCTTATTTAACTTCAACAGTTTGATCTCATGTTCGACTTCCGAAAGAGAGGGTGGATCCAAAGGAACGGCCCACGGAACAGGGCGATCACTGGTCGGCGAGAAATCTAACAATTCCGACCGATTAAATTGCCTTTCAAAGTGCTCAGCCCAACGTTCCAGGCGTTTTGATAAGTTGTGGATAGGCTGTCCAGTCTCCTCACGTATAGTTTCACTAACACCGGGTCTCCTGCTGCCCGTTTCTCGTATCAGAGGGAATAACTCACGATGGTTACCAAGGGCAGCGCCCATTTCCATCTCTGTTGCACGACGAGACCACCAGGATTCGCGGTCTCTCTTCAGGCTAGCACGGAGTTTTGCCCGGAGCTCTTTGCGAGTTGCATTGTATTCGCTTCCAGCCGGAATATGCAGGCGAGCATCTGTAAGTTCCAAAGACGGTGAGGAGACCCAATGTTCATGTTGGCGATTAGACATACCACATGAGGATTTGCCTGCTGCTAGTAAGGCCTGTTGCATATGAGACCAGTGAGCCTCAGTTGCATCCAGTGAGCGTTTATCCAACTCGGATGACAGCGTACTTTGATAGGCGTTCAGAACAGCTGGATCCACCAGTCTGCCGGTGTCAATGCGCTCACAACGTCGTCGCGGGCGTCCGCCAAAGCGCATCCGCAGGTCAGCACATACAAGTGCATGATCAGTGTCAACACCTGTGCTCCAAATCGAGCGACAGTTCTGGACGCAGCCTCTCCAGCGGTAACTGATAGCAATGTGATCGATTTGCGTCCATAGTTGGTTCGAGGCTGGTGGGGGCCAAGTCACCCTCCGGTGGGTGCTGTGTCGGAAATTAGTGCTCGCAAGAAATAAGCGAGCATCTTCACACAAATGAAGTAACCGCTCACCGTTATCATTACAGGAGCCTACACCATGTTGGCCGCCCAGACGCAGCTCATCTGCGGATAATTTTCCAACTTGAGCGTTCAGATCCCCAGCCCTCACAACAGTGTCCGAGCTTCTTCTGTGGCGAAGGAGTTCGTTCAGTTGACGATAGAAGTCATCTTTTACCGAGTCATCGCTACAGTTTGTCGGTACACAGGCAACGATAACGAATAGACACCTGTTAGTGAGACGCGACTTCGAAGCTTTGAACGAGCCAGGCAATCGGACCGCATACGTCCGGCTACCGATTGGAATCCAATCAACCAGAGCAGCTTCAGCCCGGGGACTCAGGGCAATACCAACACCGGCTTGGCCGGTGCTCGAAGCTGCATCGTTACCGGATAGGCGCAATGAGAAAGTGCTGCTAGTGTCACTTAAAGGGGATCGCAGAGTTAGTACAGAGCTCCAGTCTTGCAGGTGGGTCTCCGATAAGCAGCAGATATCGATCGAGAGGGTCTCTAATGTTCGGGCAAGTGCTGCCTGTTGACCGATCTTAAGCAATGTGCGAACATTGAGGCATGCCAGTCTGAAGGAGGATCGAGGGCTCCAAAACTAAGTGGACCGCTGACGATGATGTTTCAGAAGTCATTCGACATCTGTACGTTACCTTCTCAATGGAAGGAGGCTGTTATCTGTCCTATCTTCAAAAATGGAGACAAGAGTCCGTCAGCCAGTTATAGGCCAGTCAGCCTGACTAGCGTCGTGTTCACACTGCTTGAAAAGCTGGTGAGAGATTATTTGGATGGTGACCTGAATAGATTTAAACTACGCGGTAGTGCACAACACGGATTCCTGAGGGGTTTACATGGCTGACGCATTTCTTGATTGCTTGTGAATCTTGGATCGAGGCAATGAACAAGGGCCACGTAGTGGATGTGGTTTCCGTAGACTTCTCGAAAGCATTTGTTAAGGTACCCCACTTGTGACTATCACAAAAGGTGAGCTCCTACGGCATGTGTGGCCGCGCCGTTCACCGGATATCTGCGTGCTGGCACGGAAGAGAGCAGTGTGTAAGTGGGTGTCTTAGTTTATCCTTTAGGCAAGCGGCCCTTGGCGGTGTCTCACAGGGCTAGGTCCTAGGACCGATACTGTTCTCCATCTACGTAAACCATCTACCTGGAGAGCTTGGGGTAGCATCCCTATTGTTTGCTGATGACCTTAAGCAATGGAAAGTTTTAAATTTTCCTGGTGGTTCGGTGGTGATACAGCATGCCCTCAACAGACTTTGGGACTGGCCTGCTTTGTGGCTATTGCCCATTAATCAGACTAAGTGTTCCGTCCTTCGTATAGGAGCAAATTTCCTGCCTTCGTGCTACGTACTCTGTGAGGTTAAACCCCTCGCTCCAAGCAGGTAGACCTAGGCGTCGTCCATTCCTCTTCTTTGCATTACGGTGAAAAGTGGAAGATGACTGCAAGTAGGGGTTTCCGAAGGTTGTTGTTAATAAGTCGTTCTTACGGGGTCTTAACTGCCGACGTGTTTGTGAAGCTGTCCACAGCTTTCGTTCGACCCCACCAGTAATAATGCGTGCAGGCTTGCCCGCCCTGCCTTGTTCATGACAACATGGAGCTCGTGAGGGCTTTGAGAGTAGATACCCAATTGGTCGATGGGTTACCGTGGCAATCGTACCCCGAGCGTCTACTTAGCTTGGGTATGTATTCAATACACTACCAACGGCTTAGAGGAGACCTAATCCTTACTTACCGCATTTTAACAAGGAAGGTTAGACCGGACTTGAGCTGCCTATCTAGCCCGGCTAAGTTGTCTTGTATTCGCGGTCACCCCATGAAGCTACAGGCCGCGTTCTGACGGGATCAGTGCGGAAACCCGGTTATCGCGTGGAGTTATATGGCGCTGGAATGCGCATCAAGAAAGTGTAGCCAGTGAACCTACGGTTAAGGATTTCAAGCGTCAGTTAGATCATCTTGGGTGGCAACTCGAAAACTTTAACTTCTCCTGACCATATCCACCTTCAACCTTTTAGTAATTATTCTGTCATTCTTCACTCTTCGGTGTCATCTTTCATTTTAATGACTCATTCCCCTTTGCTTCAATTTACTTTCTATTTTTTCTTACTGCACGTAACCTACACAGCGGAGACCGCAATTGCAGAGAACGTGGGCAGTAATTGGTTGACCAGTGTGTGGTTCGGGCGTTTCGTTTCAGATCTATCAAGACCTCCTAGCACCTTATCAGTCCCTGGCTCAACGATCCGCTCAAGAAGGAACACTTAAGGGATTTTCCTATCGTTCCTGTCCGTCTGAATATGAATCGGAAACTGACACCAAGTAGCGAGCAGTCAAAGAGGCGGCAATCAACAGTGTGATGGCCGATAGGTATGCATTATAACAAAGGAAAGTTACTCATTCACCTACGGTATTCCCACTGCTAACAATTTGTGTAAGTCACTTCACTATGAACCAAATCGCAGCAAAGATTTTTTAATAAATAGTTGCTTCTAGACGCTTTTCTGGTGGTACTCACTAAATCGTGGTGGAACCATGAATGCACAATGAATTAGCACGATATTTCGTGGCGTTGTGCTGGGTGGCGTTCATTATACAGTTTGGACCGAGGTTACAAAATGCAATGTGCTGCAACCCATCGCAGAAGGAACATGGAACAGCCTTTGACCGAGAATTAACAGCGTTACAGCATTTCAATCATTTTGAGGACATTGTATCCCTTACTCAGGAACTTCAGAATAGTCCCTTAAAACGGTAATGAAGCACAACGGAGCTGGCTATCCGCCGATGAGAGAAAATAAATAATCGGTATATGATTTTATATATTAAATTGAAAAATAATGAAAATGTTACCGGTTACGTAAGAAAGTTGAGAAACATGCATATATTCTTATTATTTAGTCTTTTTTAAGTCTCCAGCGAAAGTTGCCGTGCCTAAACGCAGTGCCCTATTTTGGCCCTTTCCGGTTCTGTGAGTTGGACGTTCCGTGCGAACCACTCCAACTTGTCTTTGGAGCATACAAGCGCCATCGCCGTAGATCCCAGTCGTTCTTTTGATCTTAGGTCCTCAGGGTTGTTGGGGTTTCATTCCCGTGTTCTAACATAGATTATCAACCATGTTCTTATCAACGTTTCGTGCTTACTTGACTTATTTTCGCATTGGAGCTTACAGAGATACGTGGATTTTTATGTGGTGTCTCGAACCACAAAAACCATAGACTTCTCACAGTTCTCGCGATTTAATTGTGTGGATACATGTTGACTATGATTGAGCACACGGAGATTGTTTTGAAAGCGCCACCTGATTCAACGAACAATGATTTAGCGAATAACAGCCGGGATGGCAGTGACAATGACTCTGTCTGTGCTTTGCACTCGAGCCACTCCGTGTCGACGTCGCCATCAGTTTCAAAAACTCGCAGTTTTCGTGATCCTTACCTCCCGGAGGACGACGGCAGCATTCTGACGCCGGAACACGCCTTCGTTCAATATCAAACACGTTCTGAAGACCAGTCGTGTCAAATTTGCGGACAACCAGCTGTCGGCTTTCACCATCGAGCCTACGTATGCGAGGCTTGCAAGGTAGGCATTCTGTAATTTGATAAACTTTGGGCGCATGGTGTCACCTTGGTTGTTTTCCATGTCGTGTTATCGAATATTTCTTTTACAATAGCGCGTCCCTTCCCAAGTAACTGTCACTGGCCTGTATTTATAGTCTAACTTTTTCGTTGTCTTTTATCATTTAGCCACACTTCTTGGCTATCATTTAATTCATACTTATCATTATACACCTTGGCTGGAGGTGGGAAGTGCAGCTCGTGTTAGCTGCAGCACAATATATTGTCGCAATACCTATGAAAGGAAGAGTCAGAAGTGCGCTGGCTGAGCTACTAGTAACAGAGAGACATCGTTCTGGAGAGCTAACAGTCGATTGTTTGCCGTAAAAGAAGTTATATTATGTGTGAAATGAGGTCGTGGTTGGAGAGGGAGGCTAAGCGGGAGGGGAAGGGACAAATAATATTAATACTTTTATAATTTGTCATATGTGCGCCGTAACGGCGTTTCGCTGCCGCGCGACAACCACCAGTCGCGCGCGGGCTGAGTATACCGCGAGGTCGCCCACCCCTACGCGAATAGGGACAACTTAACTCACAGCACAAGCCTTACTGTCTGCTCCTAGCGATAACAGCAAACGTATCCGGCCAAACCTGTTCCTCATCTTTCAGGCCCCGTCCAGGTAACCGAGAGGCTCCAACCAAGGTCAAATTCGAACTAAAAGCCTTAATTCCTCTTTACCAATTCATTATTTGGCCTCCCATCTTTTTCCTCCATTCACACGAAGGTCCCAGCTTCTTTGATCGTTGAACCGCATCACTAAGTCTGTGCACATTGCGCTACCTTTTTACTCTGCACCGAGGAGGTTGCTGTATTGGCTGTCTTCATTTATCATAGGTAGTGAAAAAACCACACAGGTTAATTAAACACTCAGTTATCGTAGCATCATTTAACGTGATCTTCGGTTAATTCCAAGCCTTCGTTTTGCCCGATACTAGTCGTCTACCTTGACATTAAATACAATCTGGGTTTAACAGTAATTCCGATCACTAGATTTCAAACAACAGCACCGAACAAACAAAGAAAACAACCGCAGTGAACGGAAGCGAAACTTGAAACGAACTTCGAAGAAGCGCATGGGTCTATATAAGTAAGACAAACTTCAATAAATGGAAGGGAAGCAGGAAGCTGTAGTTGAAAATAAAGAAGTTTACGAGCGCTACAGATCTCCCACTAGAATCTGGGTTAAGACTATGAACGCTGGATACGTGCTGTTTTCTCTGAGTAGCTATATTGGAAGGGGAAGCAATTACATTTCCAAAACGAGACTTATAAGCCTGCGATCACTGCCAAACGCAGTCAGAAGTTGACTTGTTTTCACATCATTTACAAAACACTACCTGGCTCTTGACAGGCAGCATTATACCAGTGATCAGGGTTAGTGTTCTCACCCCCGGAAGTAATCTGTCACAAATGACCTGAGTTTATGCGTCGAACGTTTTTCTTCCTACGGCCAAGTTTTGAAGCAAGCGAGTTATTCATCTATCCTCAAACTCTAAAGGAGTGGAGACTGAGTTTGCCTAACTCCTAACTTATGACCTGTCGGGTGAAGTTCTGAGGGCACATAGGTTGCGATAGCGTAACCAGTAGGTCATGGTATACGCAAACCATCGCATCAACTTAGGGCCAAGTCTCATCTAGATGGAATGCATTTGCCCACTTATTTCTGTAATCATTAGGACAATATGCTGTATATGTAGAATTAGTTAGCAGTCCACGCTTAGATTAACAACTTAATATTTTTTCCTTTGTTCAACTTACTTTGACTGAACCGACCACTCGTTGGTTCGGTGGAACTGTACTTCACTTCGCTTTCCCAGGTTGCGGATCGGGGATTGCCTTTGTGAAGATAACTGCGAGTTACTCTCGTTTGTTCGCAGGCGAGATGAATGAGCAGTCGCGGACAATCGGTGGCAGCGTCTTAAAGCTTGATCACCCGGTTCTCCGTTGACTACTGCAAGAGCTCGTATGGCGCTGTGTCACTGCCAATGTGATCGGCTATAGAGTCATTGACCACTCACTTTTTGCAACCACAAGTGGGTACTTGATGGCGAGCGGATGAACTCCCCCGATGGCCACCGGTTTCTATGTGGGCTTTGAACACTTTGAAGTCCTATGAACCAGGTTTTCTTTTCTACCAGCGAGTTCAGTTGTCCATAAAACTTTTCCTGGTATCTGTGCTACTTTACTGGGGATCTTCAAACACCCAACGTATTTTGTTTCCGCTCAGAGGCCGTGCTATCCTCACGTCATGTGGACTCCAACACGGAAGCCGAGACGGCACCGAGTTTGGTCGTCAGTGACTCCATTTCTTGCTGCTAAGTTATATTTTGCCCACGTTTTGATTTGCGCCACCGTACATCTGGCAAGGCCCTCGGTAAACGGTGACTTGGCATACCTAGTATGTGCCCAAACCAACAACTTATTTAGTGCTATTTGTTGTTCTAAGGAACTAGCATGACTATCACTACCTAGTAGACTCTTCTGGCACATCATCGTTGCGGACACGCTGGTGCCATCATCATCCTCACACACGTTAGCTAGAGGTGGAAAACAGTTATTGTTCCGTAATACATTAGAAAAGAAAAAAATGCAACAAAAGCACGCCAGCTGTGCCACCGGTAACGAATGGACCTCCTTCCGGCGAGCTAACAGCCGGCTATTGTGCAGCAAAAAGAGTTACATTGTGCCTAGTAAATGAGATCGTGGTTGGAGGGGAGGCTAAGCGGGAGGGGGACAAAGAAACTCACAACAGGAACGCCACAGGTCGGTTCTTAGCCATATCAACAGGTCTATCCATCCAAACGTGCTCATAGTCTTTCGGACCCCAACCTGGGAGCCGTGAGGCTCCAACCGAGGCCAACTTCGAACTAAAGGCTTTCATTCCTCTCGACCAAGTCATAGCTTGGCCACCTCTCCTCGTCTTCCAGCCACACCTCCGGCGCGCAAACAACGCACGTCGCGGGAGTTGGTGGGTTGACATGCAAAACACCTAGCCCAGCCATTGGAGTTTGGTGCGTGGTATAACGGTGCCGACCGTTTCACTTCTTCCTGTGCCAGAAACAAGGCGTCGAACACACTCATTGCTCACACGGTGTTCCCAACAGATATGAGCCAAACTGCGAATTCACCGGTTGTCGAACGTAGCTAGCCTCTTTACGTCTGTCGATTTAAAGGGCCAAGTTTCACAACCGTACACCTAGGTCAAACCTAGAGCCGCATTGTACACTCTACCATTCCAAGAATGATGCCGCGCCGGCGCCATAGACGGTGAAGGTTAGCAAGAGCGCCCCGAGCTTTTGCTATACGGTTTGCAATCTCGTCTTCAGTTCCAACGGCACTGATACAACTTCCGCGATAGTTGACTATTTGAACGACTTCTAGCTGATCCGCACCAAGAGTCTTCGCAGGAAGCAATCCCTGCCAAACTTGGAAGAAAACTTTACACTTCGTGGGAGAAAAGCATGGCCTGAAATGACTGACAGTGCTAATCTGTCTAGTGCTGTTTGGCACGTTTTTGAGCTGTCATTATACTCCGACTCAAGAAATCCTTCACCTGGGAGCAGTTTTACACCTAACGTGTCCTGTGAACGCAATCTCTGACTTCGTCAATAGCGAAGTTGAATAGGAACGGTGACTGCAGACATCCTTGTCTTACACCGCTGTTGCCATCCAACATCAGCAATGCTTCGCAGGCAACGATGCTCAAAGACTTAAAGGCGCAGCAGGTCCTCAGATCAGCAGAGCCAAGTCTCACTCCCATAGAGTAGGACAGCTCTCACTGTGACTGTACACACGGCCTTCTAGAAGGAGAGCAACCCCATTTCTGACGCCACAGGTGTCTCAAATTCAAGTGGGCAGTTCTGGCTTTTGCAGTGCGTGGACTGACTTCAGTCGTTATGCGCCCGTCGTTACTGATGCAGCTATCAAGGTAAGTGCATTAATCAACTACCTCGAGTTCCTTGCTATCAAGTGTCAAGGGGTCATCAAGTGGCTGGTAATCCTGTAACAGCACTTTGCACTTTGAAAGTGTGGAACGCATGCCAAATTGTAGGACCACTGGGGTGGTTCTTCAGGGTTGATTTTCCTCACTCAACATCGTTAAGGATAGGATGTAGTGCTGATGAACGGCGACGGAGCAGTGGAGCGATTTCATTTTATCAACCAGGGAACGAGCATTCATAACAATTCGTTTGTGGGAGTCATCGTCACGGGAGAGCCCCGCATACCTACGGAAATCAGTATTTGGGCAGTTCGTTGCCTTAATTACACGCGGATCTGAGCTTTTTATGTATTTTCTACGTTCGAGCTGTAGAGGGTGGGGTTGGGTGTGCAGTTCTCTATAAACCTTTTGGTTGGGTATGAACTGGAGGAAAAAGTGTACACTCTTCATGAATGTTTTCGGAATTATCACTCAAATCTGTAATCTTCAACAGAAGGCCAGTGTACAGGGTTGAGGGGCGAGTTCCGCGTGTTATATGCTCCACTCAGTGGTATTGCACTCTTGAGTGTTGCCACCCTAAGCTTAAAGCCCGCTGAAGGTTCGTCGCAGTTGATGGGTAGTTGCTGGCCCACACCTGCTACCTAAGCTCGTTTTGGTCTTCTAGCCATGGTATGTTTGAATTCTGTAGCAAGTGGCCGAGAGAGACCCTATGAGAACACATATCCGAACTATATACACTTGTTCTAGGGTGTTTATCCTAAGAGAGCACCTACTCCCGTTTACTTTGCTCGTAAGCTACCTAGTAGGAGGCTGTAGATGAACGGGCTAATAGTAATTTATAAACGCTATCAAACGTGCTACAGAACTGGCTCTCAGGCACATGCATAGACCAACTTTAGCAACGATGCAGCATACGTGCCACCTCTGCCGCATAAATCGCATTGGTTATTAAATGGAACTGGAAGCAGCGTACTTGCCAAATGCTACGTTGATGCTTACCTATTCAAATTACCCATTGTCTCCG